CAATAACTTTAAACATTCATATGACACATCCAATTCCATATCTAAATTATTCATTTGTAAATTGCAATGCGACAATTCTAGTAAGAATAAAGTATTTCATCTCAACAATCATAGAAATGGGAATATGTCGATCATTCGCTAATGAAATTTCCCTAAAGAAATCGAAAAATGAGCTTCAGTACTGCAACTTCTCACTGAAATATCTATGCATAGTGATATAACATCACGCTGAATACAAGCATTCCAAAAGTGAGGTCGTTCTATAGACAATTAAACTAACTCATTGGGTAAGTTTAGTTGTTCCAGCATCCTAGCCTTCGCCTCTCAACAAATGATAAGATCTCATAATCGTAGGTTCTAAAAAATATTCTCAACCATACTTTACAAGTATCGAATCACTCTTATTTATTATTATGATTACAAGATATTTCCGTTAGGTAAGTTCGAATTCAATCATTTCAATCGCAGGAAAATGTTACCTTGTTTTCTTCACGGACATTATGGATGAAAGCTTTTCAATTCTCATTTCGCCGGTTAAGTGATCGAAAAACAGTAAACATTCTTTTTCTCCTTTCACTGGCTTTTGTGCACCTTTAAATACTGTTAAAGCATCTCCTTCACCTGGTACTGCAACCTGTAAAAAAAACTGAAGCTATGACGCACTAAATATATTCACGAAATTCTTTACCTTAATTCTCATAAAAATACCTCTGGCACTCGAAAGTCCCAGAAAAAAAGATCTACATAAAAGTACTAGCTATCTAGGATTTGGTATTGAACTTACGAAAACTGTTATTTAGAATTTGGCATTGATAAAACTCATTGCAGCATTATTTCACTTCAGAATTTTGAAAAACAAAATCTTTTTAAAGTTTTTCAAAAAAAAAAAAAGGAAAATATCATAAAAATAAAGAAAGAGAAAAAAGAATGACCTGTACATCACCATTTCCACCAAATACTATGAATGTTTCTTTTTCACCAGCCAACGATTTTGGCTTGAAATCAACTGGAAATATACTTTTTTTCTTTTTTTTTATTTTTATTGTTCAAAAAAACCGAAAAAATGATCCGATTTCAATATCAGTACAATCTAATCATGTTACTATCTTATTTATCGCTTTAATTACATTTAATGAATGCAACAAAATGTGATACATGTATTCTTAGACTATCTGATATAAAATTTCTCACCACAATTTACTGATTTTCACGTTAATATCAATAAAACATTGAAATATACAAAATAATTAGTCGATTAATTAATTAAAATAGCAAAAATAGCAGAAATTGGTTAATTAATCAAAAAATATAATATGAGATATACAAAATGGTTAATTGACTAATCAATAAATATACAAAATGACTAATTAATTAAAATTACTTACATCGTAGAGTATGATAAACAGGCTTTTCACCTCGTTCCTGAAATGATTCGCCGAGTTTCAAATTATACGTTCCGGAAGGTATCTCACGTATTTCCGCCATCTTTAAAATTCTTTTTCTCCGTGAATAAAATTGAGTAGAAGGAGATGAATAATTTACGGAATTAGTTTAACTATACCTAAAAATATTTTCATTTATTGATAACATTTCGTACTGTATACCTCCCGCTTTTCTTCATTGATCAAGGAAATAAGGCAAAAGTTAAAAGAACACGTATAAACAATTAAAAAAACATGTGAACTTTGAACCTTTGAATTCAAGTTAAATGAACATGTGAACTTTGAACCTTTGAATCCAAATTGAAATATATCAATCGTATCGAAGTTATAATATAAATTTCATCCAAATTTTTGTTTATTTATTTATTTATTTATTTTTTTAATCAAATATTGTGTGAAAAATAAATTATTGTGCGTAATATTTGACTTAAAATATATTATATGAGAGAAAAAGACAAATAAGATATACAAAAAGGAGAATGGAATGAAACAGAGAAAGTGAAAAAGAAGTAAGAGTATGCAAAAAAGAGGAAATAAAAATCAATGATATGATAAAATTCAATGAAATATTTTGTAAGAAATTGAGGAAATCAAAATCGATTAAAACCGACCGCTCGAAATTATCAATCAAAATTGTAGAATTGTCAACCTCTCGGGTTATTGCCTGAATTGCGAATTGGTTACGTTTCATAATTTACGTTCTTACATTAATTACGCCAAGTACGTGATGGTAATTTTGGTCATATTTGGTGATTTACGTTGTTGCGTTAATTACGCCAAGTACGTGATGGTAATTTTGGTCATATTTGGTGATTTACGTTGTTGCGTTAATTGGGCCAAGTACGTGATGGTAATTTTGGTCATATTTGGTAATTTACATTGTTGCATTAATTACGCTAAATACGTGATGGTGATTTTGGTCATACTTGGTAATTTACGTTGTTGCATTAATTACGCTAAATACGTGATGGTAATTTTGGTCATATTTGGTAATTTACGTTGTTGCGTTAATTGGGTTAATTACGCTGGTCGTTGATGTAATTGTCTTAAAATTCCAAATATAACGATATGTAATGAAAACTTGTAGGGAATATTTTGTAATTAGTTAAAAATGTTATCCAGAAATCGTAAATATTAATTCATTCTAAGTTTCGAAAATTTTTTTTTCTGGATGAATAATTTGAAAATAATTTGAAAGAAAAAAAAGTTGATGTCGGAAATTTCTTAAATATATGTATTTCCTACATCCTTGAAATTTATACTTATTGCACAGGGAGAAAGAAACGAAGTGAAAAGAAGAAAAGTGAAGCAGTGAAGGGATCGAAATTTATGGTATAATTATTAGAATTTAAAGAATTTCAGTTTTAATCCTGATTTTTGTGAAATTTTATACTCTTTCCTTTTCATATTTACTGCTTATTTTTATGTAATGTTTGATAATAGTATTAATAAATAATCGTGTTTTCTGGGATCGAATAAACCACGATTCGATCATTTGAAACAAATGGATGGACCAACAGAAATCTATGAGCAGTTTAATTTGTAAGCTTTCCGGAAATTTTTTATCTCGTTTTTATACTTGCCGAATTCGCTTCATCATTATTTCAGTGATCTGTCAGTGTTTTTCTCAGAGTTGATTGCAACCGTAATTATATTATAATTATATTATAACTATCGAAATACTGTTGAAAGTATGGTTTGGTTATTTAGTGGTAGTATAACTGTATGCTAAGTAAAAGTAATCGATTGTATTCTTCACGTGACAAGAAAAGACATATAGTATCAGTTGTTGAACTATTATATTCAAATCCATCAATTAGTTTTCACTTTTTTGTTTCCATTTAGATGCATATTTCCGGAGAGATTTTGTTTGGAACCAAGAGGCCGAGACGGTGGATCAGTTTCAGATACGTATTTAGAAATCGATCGTAATACGGGGAAACTGAATTTAATAAGTAAGTTATTTATGATTCATCGTGTAAAGGTTATTATATTATTGGTAGTTTTCTCTTTAAATTCTTAGGATATGAAGTTTAAATCATCATATTTACACAGGAAATATAGAGAAACCAATTCTTATACACGATGCTGAAGTGAAAATTATTCATGGAATTGTTGGTATCGTTAGACTGGTATCAGGTTTGTGATGTATATTGATTGTTGATGTTCTAGTATTCATGTGTTGTGTGCTTTACATGCATGTATGTAAACTAAAACATTTCCACCTTCACATTCATACACATATATTTATCTCTATCGTTGATAAATTGCATTGCAAGAAACACATTTTTTCCTTTTTTTTTTCTAGGAAATGCTTTGATAACTATAACAAAGGCTAATCTCAAAGGTGTTTTAACTGGTCATGAAATATGGGCGATAACCGAAACGGAAATTATACCATATGTAAAGACAACATTACATTTAACAGAAAAACAGGTTACTCATTTCCTATAACATCCCTTAATCCTAACTACATATTATTCACATTATTTTTCATATGTCAAAAGATTTTATTTTCGAAAAATGAAAGTTTTTCGAATTTTATTGTGATTGGACTGGAAAAATATTTACATTCCAGAAAATGCTTTGATAATTATAGCAAAGGCTAATCTTAGCACCACGAATGTTACAAGTGAAATTTCAAAGACTTTGAAGCAATGTATTTCAAAAATGATATGAATAATAAGTTTTTCAGTTACTTTGCTAATTTTATTTAAATGAGATACTTCCTGTTTTATTTCATTTGACTACTTATAGCTGCTTCAAAAAATTGAGGTAGCTAATTTGAAATGAAATAGCAAAGTTACAGATTTGGTATAATCGACACTTTACTGATATGATCCAACTTGTATTGTCAACCGGTGGATTTTATTTCTCTCGCACTTACGATTTGTCACATTCAGCGCAGTGGTTAGCAGAAAATGCTACACCTCTATTCAAAAGACTTCCAATGATGGGTCGAGTTCGTTACTTCTTTTCCATTTGTGCTTTAAATAGATTTTTCTTACATTTAAATTTAATCATGAAATTTGCCTTTTTGTAGGGATTGTTACTTTTTTGCTATATTTGGTCTGAGGCATGTCCTGTGTCGTGGTCACGTTTCGTAGCTGCACTGCGTCGAGCATTTAGCGGTTGAGTGCAATAGAAACTAAGAAAAAGTATTGTTTGAACTTCGTTGTACTAGGAGAAGTCATATTTGGAACATTTGAAGGGTCTCGGCAATCTTTGATTCATTAATCTTGTCAGTTAACTAATTGACTATACTGTCTGTCTAAGTTTTGGTTTCTTTATTTCCAAAATATGCTTTACATGTTGGGAAATTTGTGTTTTATCTCTCGTCTTTCTTTTTATTTCTCAGTATTGTTTTTAGGCAGATGAACGTTTTGTGTGGAATCGGTATTTGTCGACCCCTCTTGCAGCCGTTCCCGAATTATTTCGGTATGTGCTTCCCATAATACACGGCTTTTTTGATATCAGTCGTTGTATTGTTAATGGACATGTCTTCCAGCTCTGTCTTATATCTCGGAGATCTATATACAGGTTTGGATTATTTTTGAAACATTATGGTTATCTGAAAACATTATGCATGAAGAAATGCGTAATTTGATAGCTCTTTCAAAAGAACTTTCAACGATTTAATAACTTTTACTTCTAATCTAGCAATGATATGAATTACTTGCGTTTGTACTACTCACTTTACTTTTTCAAGAAATGAAAGTAGGATCATTCACCTAATAAAGTCGATCTCTTTTCTCTTCTTCGATACGGCTGTAATTCTGATCTATCACAGTAAATGGTGATTGAACCTTTCATTTGTCTGTAGAAATTCGTAAAGTATCGGGATTTTTGCATTTGAAATGAGTGTTGTTAGTTCGTGTATGGCAAAGGGTATCCTCGAATACAGTTCTTGATGCCTTCAAAAAATTTTAGGGCAGGCACAAGATTTTATATGCGCGGCGTCAGTGCTAATGGGCATTCAGCAAACTATATCGAAACTGAGCAATTAGTGGAATACGATAAGGATAGCGATCCGAAACAACGATGTTTAACATCATTCGTACAGGTACTATAAAGAATTTTATGAAGGTTCCATTAATCAAATCTGCTGCCAGGAATAAATACATTTTTTCTTTAAAATTGTATATCTTAACTTGGTTGTAAACGAAAAGTTCCGTGTCTTCAGAATTTAAAATGTATGTAACTTACAGATAAGAGGATCAATACCGTTGTTTTGGTCTCAACGACCAAATCTTCACTGGCAACCGGAACCAATGCTAAATCCTGTTGATGACCAAACCGAAGCTTTTAAGCGGCATATGATAATGCAGCGAAATGTTTATGGAGGAAAACATGCTAGTAGTTTTGCGAATACTTTTTCCAACTTAATAGTGGTTTTGTTCGAAAAAAAGTTAATCTGTTGGCATGACTTGAATTTGGGTAGGCAAAATAGTTAGTACTCAAGTATTCGTAGAATGGCAAATGTTGGGTGAAATGAAGAAAATTTGTTCACATGACTTGTATTACTACACAGTTATATATGTAGTGATAACTTTTACTGAACTATAGTATATGTGAAATTAAACCGATAAGTGTCATAAGCTGTGTCGTTTTTAATCATATTTAAATCAAACAAAAAATATGAAAACAAGAAATTCAAGGTTTTAATAAAATGTGCTAAAATATATTTGGTTGGAAAATCTATTTACCAAGTTGCAAAAATTCATTGCCTTTTTTTCAGGTAATCGTAAATTTGGTGAATCAGAGAGGACGTGAAAAGCGTGTTGGTGGGGAGCTTGATCGAGTTGTTATACACACAAATTTAGACTTCGTGAGGTAGATCGACATAAAGAATTCTAACTCTTTAATGTTCTGTTTAGAGGAGAAAAGGAGAAGAAACAGAGGAAGAATTGAAGTGGAGTGGTTAATTTCAGGTATTAGAATTTGAAGTTTCGATTTTGTATTCGATAACTCACTGATTGTCTTTTTAGACTCAATGCATTTGATTTTCACAAAGAATGTCGTGCATTAGATTGGGGTCGGTTGGATATACTCAAGAAACAACTTAGAAGCGAAATTACAGAATTTGGGTATGCCTATCATTGCTGTTAATCCCTCTTATTTAGGGTTATTGAAGTTATATTCAGTAGCAACATTATCTTGTGCTTGATGAAGAAGGCATATTCTCATAGTTTCAATAAAGTGTTTCTAATTCCACATTCCAGTAAACTAAAGCTTTATATTCGAGAACATCAGAAATTTTTTACAATCGATAGGTCAAGGTGGTTAAAAAATAGCAGTTATTTGTTGAAAATTGAATTTAAATTAGTTCAAATAGTACTTTTTTTGTAGATTCTTTGCATCATTTGTAAACTCTGCGGAACAAATGCACAAACAGAAAGGATTTTTCCGAACCAACTGCATGGATTGTTTGGATAGAACTAATGTTGCTCAGTCGATGTTGGCCAAGGTATTCTATTTTCGAATAATTCATTATTCTTTTAAAACTCTTTATTGGTTTAATTTTCTACCAGGGTAGCAGCATGTTACTAGGGATTGATTCATTTCAAGTAATATCTTGGATTCAACGTATTATTAGGGGCTGATCTTGTTCATAGTAATATCTTTTCTTGTCGTAAGCATCTTAAACCTTCCGATACTTAAGACGTTTTCATATATAAGTGGGATATTTCACCTTACTGAGATATTATGCCGACTCTTTCATTCTTACCTGAATGCAGTATGTCAATAGTATATTACAATAGTATATTAATACAATTGTATCGGAAGGTTAAAATACAATAATATATTTTAATAATATATGCAATAGTATATTTTAAAAAGAATGCATGGAATGATGGTCATTCCTAATCATTTGCCTTTTTTATTGTAATCATCTTAAACGTATTTAAGGAATCATTGAAAGATCAGTTATGTTATCTGAAGATCATCGGTAATGGCTTCGAAGTGGATAGTTACACGGAATTGTCTGTTACTTTCAAGAGAAGTGAGCACTTTTCTGTATGCTATGCGAAGATACATGTTCTCATGTCTGTTAAGTGAAATACGTTTTATCAATATTGTTTATAGTTTGGGCTGATAATGGCGATGAATGCAGTCGTCAGTATGCAGGAACGGGTGCATTGAAGGTTCAGTGATTATTTGTTGAATAAAAAAGAAATGTGATACTATATTTTTGATGAATTTGTCTAACATTGGTAATTGGAACTTGTTATAATAATGTGGTCAATTCTTGTCTTTAACTTTACACTTGACTTTACAGATTCGATTACAATCAGGAATAACACGTGCTTTAGTGCAGTAAATCTTTCCTCAAGATTCACTGCACCCTCAACATCTTACATGAACATTCAATATCATGTGAAAGTAGTTATGATGTAACTCGCCAAACTACTTCATGTAATTAGTGTAATTGGTTTATTTTCCGTTGTCTCTTACCTGATTTTTGTTTTACAGGCTGATTATACGCGTTTTGGTAGGCGAACTTTTTCTGGAGCGTGGAACGATTGTATGAATGCATTCACGCGTTATTTCCGAAATAACTTTGCAGATGGTTACAGACAGGTGACCGAAATATTATTGAATTTTTCGTACTATTCCCTAATCGATGTTGCTTGAATAGTTTAGAATAGTCAAAAATTTTCTTAGTGACGAAATGAAATTTTACCGTTTGAGGAAGCTTTCATAAGAATATTTCAGGATGCAATCAATCTCTTCCTCGGTAATTTTCGGGTTGATCCAAACAATTTGCCAGCAACTTTTGAAACTACAGTACTTAATTTTGACTATCATGGTGGTGCTATTATTGGTGCAATTTTTGCAGCTGCAATGATTATTCTTTGTGTATTGGTAGCAGGTAAGCATTTATAATTTTTAAAATTTTGAGTATGGACTAAACGTGTGGAGACTAAACGACATAACTTAAGGGTGAAATTAAATCTCTCCCGTCAAAGAAGTATAAAGGAGTACGACTATTTCCAGAATATGATCGGGTTATAATCAGATAACTCCGTTTAAAAAGAAACCATATACTGTTCTATGTTGTGATTAATTCGAAATTCAAAATATTCTTCAATTGCCGTCACCGATTTTGAAAGTTCTTTATCGTGCGTGTGCGTATGTGTGTGTCTGCGTGTATTTGAGTTTTTATACATAAACTTATCAATGAATAGCTTTTTTTTTTTAAGATAGTCAATAATTTGTCATAAATACTTCATAAATTCAAATTACAGAAAATATGACAGCAACTATATTTTGGCTGGTAATTTTCATTGGATTAATGTTGTTCATATTCATCAATGGTGAGGAATTTGTAAGCAAACCTCGATTAAAAATGGATTGAAACCCCCGATCTAGTTCAGTTTCGATTTTAAAATTAGCAGAAATTGGTTAATGAACATTTACTATCGAATTTTAATGCTTCTGTCAAATATACCTCATAAATTTTTTTGAAATACTGGAAGTTTTCCTTTTCCGTACTAAGTTGGTTGATATTTCTAGTATTTGCTAAAGTTTGGTGAAGAATAATGTAGTCCTGTAGTGTAGTAGCCACGTGTTAGTAGACAAGTTATGTAGCACAGTATGTTCTGGAATTCTGAAAAACTTTCTTTATTTCCAGAGCTACAAATATAGGACAAATAAGATAAAATGAAGTTAGGTGTAAAAATAAATACGAATAAAGTAACAAGGGTCGTAAATACTAATAAACTACTAGCAGGGAGCTATTACTAAGTATTATTTAATGAAAATCTTTCAAATAATTTTTCAAATATTAGGTCTCAGAATTCAAAATTTGAAAATTGAACGGTATATGTACATTTCTGGAAGCATATTTTATTGATGTCGTTTATCGTCGTATTCCTTATAGTAGCGGCTTCTCATATTTTAATCATACTTTAGCCTCATACATTTAGTTATGGTACTGTGCCAGTTCTTACACTTTCATTATTTTTATTTCGCTCTTTGCAGTGCAGCTTTCTAATTTGTAAACCTTTTTGGCGATGATATCAAAATTTTCTTTGTATCCTAGTTAAAACGACTAGCTTGTACGATGGAATTAACAGGAAAAGGAGTGAATTTAAGAAGCTTGAAAAGAACCCAATGAAGCTCATTTAGAATATGGCAAATGAAATTTGGACATGCAGTTCGAACTACAATTATTAATCCGATATGAGCTGTGAAAAAATTTGTAGTCAAAAAGTAGTAAATATTCAGGGTAACAATAAAAAAAATTACCAAAAAAAACCGGACTAAACACAGAGAAATGATGTTACTGTAAATAAGCAGATGGGCGTTAGCTGGAACCATTGGCTAATAAAATTCAATCATTTATTGATTGAAATGAAGAAGACCACAAAATAAATGATTGAATTTTATTAGCCACTGATTTCGGCTAATGTTCACTCATTACTCTTTGACTGTTACTTTTTCCATAACTCATACCAGATTCTTAATAATTAATACTTAACAGTAATTCAAATTGCATTTCGGATTTTCACTTACCATATTCTCTATGAATTTCAGGATTCTGTTGAAATTTTTTTTAGTCCAAACTTTATCCCTGTTAATTGTACTGCACAGGCTAGCCTTTTAAAGATATCTGACATTATCTTCTTTTTAAATCCTTCACTTCAAAAGTTAAACAAGTAAGATTTGTACTACGTGTAACTTTATCTTTTATTAGTTCAATTGGATTGTTTCATCGTTAGCCTGCTTCATTTATACATGTATAATGATCATCAAATAGTAGTATATCTAAGCAAACAAATTTCAATAATGTGATAATCACCAATTAATAGGACGAAATTGATAACACATTCTGTGCAGTGTTATTACCAACGTAAGTTTAAGTTAATAAATATGGATAAAAATGCATGCTTAGCATTCACAAAGTGTAAATCGAGCATACAAATATAATAGGAGAAAATTTTCAACAGCTTAAAACCTTACGAAAACAAATAACTACCAAGAGATGTAGTTCATGATCAACAAATTAAAATGAGCTAAATTATTACATATTCAATTTAAGGGAACACGCTAATGAGAGATTTATTAAACAAATCTTGTTTATGGAATGTAATTTTCTGATTTTTTTGACATTTAAACTTCAGTACTTCACTAAATTTTGGGGAATTTTTATTTATGATATCTTATTTGTTTATTTATTTATGTTATTTCATTATTAATTTATTTATTTATGATAAGCCAAATTTACGCAATGTTTCAACTTGCGGAAGGAATTGAGACTATTAAGATGAAACTGATAAGTGCTTGAATTGGTAATATTAAATGCTGAACATGAAAATGCTTGCTTGCTAAGATTAATTCAACTAATTAATCCACTGAATAGAAAAGTTATGTAGCAGACTTGTAGTTTTCTTATTTCTATAATAACTTTCGTTTAGAATTTATTTAAATTTGAGTGTTTATTTAAAAAAGTAAATTTATTGTGATATTAGGTTTTATGAAAATTAAATATATTAGGAAAAAAAAAGAAGCAGTATTGAGTAGACACAGGCTATGAATGATGACATTCTTTCATCATTCAATAATACGGAAGGTTACTATCAGCTACCGGTAGACAACGATGATAAATACCGTTAGTTGAAGTTTACAGGATGAAATTGTTGTTGACAATTTTGATTAAACGTGCAAAAAATTTATTCTTCATGTGGTCAAGTTTGGAAAACAAACTGATCAGATATTTTTAAGCATTTAATTTTACAAATTGACAATTTACAAATTCCCATATCAATTATCAAAAATTATCATTTCATTTCATAGCAATTTTTTTATTATCATTTCTTGTATTTGTTACTAAGTCATTTCTAGTGATTTGCTTTATATTTACCATCTAAGTTTTTCGTATTATTTGATCTCCTTTATTTGAACTTTCTTCCTGCTTTGATGTTGCATGAGAATCCGTTTCGGGAGTTTTTCTACTAATCTTTAATTCACCTTTTTGACTTCCTTCCGATTTTCCAGAACTTGGTACTTTCGAACTTTCTGATCTGTAAATTACTTTATCCTCTAGACTTGAATGAATCCCTTTGCTTTTCTCCATAAACTAGTCCTATTTTTAATGCATATAAGTAAACAAATAACCTTACCTTACCATATAAATATAATTTTTCAATCAATAGGAAGTAATACTTCATTTGCATTTGATTTATCTGATTTGGCATTTCTTGTTGTGTTTTCTCACTTCGGACACTCGATTGTGTTGACGCGACCTGCGTTTTGCTTATATCCAACTTCAAAATTAAATTCTTTCATTAATTGTGAAATGAAGTTGTAATAAAGCTAATTTAAACTTTAATCATTATTTTGATTTAGACTAAATGCAAAATAACAAAAAATGAGGAAATAAAATAGTTTGATAAGTTGAAAAAAAAGTGAATTTTGCTATTCAACTTCCATTCCAGAAAATAATGCAAAACCAGAAAGTTAAGGAGATGAAAATTTATTTTATTCCATTCCTTATTTTATTTCTTTATGCTAGTTATTTTTATCCAAATTGTAATTTGTAAAATTTGAATGAACTGAATTCGAATTCATTAATAGAAATTTGAAAAGAATTTTGTCACCTTGTCATCTGCAGTTCCATTTCCATCTAAAAAATATCTTCTAGAAAAAGCCAATAAATGATAAAAGCAAATGAATGTATTGATAAGACATTATCATTAATTACCGTCATTTTCCTTTGTGGTACTTTTTTCTCCTTTTTTTTTGGATCATTGGAAGAAACTTGGATTGGAAGAAATGAAATTTAAATTTTGGAATGCTTACTTTTACCAATGTAGGATTTGTTCAGTTGGTTATTTTCACGTTCGAATTCAATCAATAACGTTTTTTCAACACTTGGTTTCTTAAATAATTTACAAAACTATGATGTATTATTATGAACATTAGCTTCCTGTTCCTAGTTCATTTCGATGTCCCACAAAGTTTGACATTTAATAATTGAGAAATGGTTTAAACATAATTATAACTAATTATACAATGCAATTAAAGAAAATTTGCTAAAATCTAATTGAGAATGCTTTTTTTCTAAATATGCCATTACGAAGTTTTTTTTTCCGACGAAAATTTGCAACAATTTTTATTTTTCAAAAATTTGAATTAAATAAAAAGCATACTTTATCTGCCGCATTTGATGATGATAATAGCTTTCCATTCTGCTTTTCCATTTGCAACTTTTGTAAACTCCGTGATTGCCTATTCTGTAATTAATGAGAATTATTATGGGTAACGAAATTTACGAAATTAGTTTTCTAAAAAGCTGTTTCTTTCTAATTTTTTTTTTTTTTTTTTTAATTAATGCAAATTATAAAATAGCCACTTGATCTGACAGTAATGCAGCAATAATAAAATTTTCATGGAATTTTTTTTTCTATTCTTACTAAATTAGTTCTAAAATTTCAAAAAATAAAATTTATGTGGGAAAGATAAGGCAGGTATTATTATTATTATTATTATTATTATTATTATTATTATTATTATTATTGTTATTATTAATCATCATTATTGTTATTATTATTATTATTATTATTATTATTATTATTATTATTATTATTATTATTATTATTATTATTATTATTATTATTATTATTATTATTATTATTATTATTATTATTATTATTATTATTATTATTATTATT